GAAAAAATTAAAGGCAGAATTTAAACATATAATAAGTATTCAAATACAGATGAAAACATATGAACAGTATACCACACAGCACTGTCAAGCAATGCAAATCTCAACAGGTTTAATGCACTTTTTTCCCTAAAGACAATAGAAGTAGTAGGTGATCTAGAAACATTCAATTTAGCTTGAAGCATCAAACAGCTGAAAATCAGCTGACAGCCTAGTAAGTACCATGGCCAGGTATAACTTATTTTAACATAACAGAAACCTGTGCTATTTGCTCTGAAATTATTGTGGGACAATTTCCCTATCAATATTTCCTTTAAGTTACTGCTGTTGGGCAAGTGGACCCTGCCTGTCAACCTGTGATTCTCTGAGATGCAGAGTTATCTCAAGATCAGCTCAGCAGAGAGGAAAACTCAAAGCTATGGTATGGTATGGAACAGAGCTGGTAGCCGTTTCAAATCACAGCAGCATCTTTCAGTCACCAATATCCTTTATGTAATATTCATCATTGCAACAGATTAAAAGCTACGAATCTACTGTTTCCCACTAATACCAATTGCACACTTGCACTTGGCTTGAACATCTTTAAAGGATAATCTCAAACTGATGCTGGGCCAATTGGAAAATATTTACCTGTTATTTAAGCTTTAAATTGGTGCATTACTAATTACACTGGGCTTGCAAGCACGAAAATTTATAGAAATTTTGGAACTCCTCAGAGCAGCAACAACAAAAAAGTCCACAGAATTCTTGGTCATTACAACATTATCTTAGTATGTCATAATCTTACAAAAGAATCTGGTGTTCTACCTCTAGTTTCTTCATGATAAACAGTCTGAGCCCCAGAAAACCCACAGAGTTGCCTTACAAGCATTTTTGCTAGCGTTGTCCATAGCGGTCATCCTAGCACTCTGCTCGCTGGTGGTGGATTCTTTGAGGGAGTAATACAAAATATTTGCTAGTGTGAATTCCTGGTAGTTTCTCAGCACATCAGCATCAATATCATCATAGATACTAAGGCTCTCTGTAAAATATGAAAGAGTGGAATTAGAGAAATCCAAGCCTAAACCATTCAAGTTACCATTCATTTGAAATAATTCTGTTGTCCTTGCTTCCTGATCTCCACACATTAGCCTAAATCTATTCTACTTTTTTGAATTATCATATATGTATTACCCTTAACTTGGAACATTAAGCTTTGTAAATATTTTACAAAGTTAACACTTAAGACTCCAGAGGGAAAAAAAAAAGTATTTTTTTTTAAATGTCATCTTTGATTCATTTTTCAGTATGCCAAGAAGGTAAACTGGCAAGTAATCCACAACAGAGCTATGCAGGAACATTCTGGGGAATATTCAGATTTTTTTTTCAGATCTGTCTCTTCATACAATGGTGGTTTCTAGGTCATTACTTACCAGAACCAGCAACAGTTTCAAGAGAGAATATTGGTTTTTCATCAGTCTTGTAGGAGATGACAGACCTATTATGAAAAAAGCATATTAAGCATATTACAGTTTTGATACATCACCAGGACTAAGTACATGATGACATACCAACCATGAAGACACCACCACCCACTGTAAAAATAAAACAGAATTCCAACTCTTCAAAACAATGGTCTTTTCATTTTATATTACTCCATTAGAGCAACATGTTGTTTGAAAGCCTTCTATCCAGCACCTTTCCAGTACACCCTTCAGAACATGTGCCTTAAGAGCAGGGTTTTTTTTGTTTTTTTTTTTTTTAAATAGTTAAATTACCGATTATAGATGACGGATCCTTCATCAAATTCATACCCGGAGTTTAGCAGCTCTGAAGCAATGATTGAAGCATCTCCAAAGCTGGGAGGTCTCCGTCCCACTTCTTTGAATGTCATCAGGAAGTAGTTGCCATGTGTCCTGCAAAGTCATGCCCTCTGTATTAAAAACAAGTTCATGCTCTAGCACAGGGCTTTGCAGCATCAAATGCAAGGACCCCAGCAACTCACTGATGCTCATAAAACTATGCATTACACTGAATTCTGGCTTGAGAGAAATTTTTTTTTTTAGTTAAATTATCATAATAGCTTCATGATAAACACACTTTTACAACAGCACCGGTGTTGCTAGGTCTGACTCTCATTCCACTCTAACAGTGTCATGCAGCAGTTTCAAAATAAATCTAAGTGAGAAAAGCAAAATCTTGCATTTATCCTAGCTCCATAAAAGGTAGTTGCTGTGGATACCAAACAGCTTTTTGAGGAGCCTTGACATTTCTACTACAGAAAACAAAACAACAAAAAACCCCACCCTAATCAGATCCCTCTACTTCTTTTTACCTTTGAAGCAGACCTCTGATTTTGTCACCTACTCCAACCACCATAACCTCTTTCCCAGCGTTTGAGAGGTTGGTAATCTCATTCTTCAGGGTCTTAGCAATAGATGTGTGAATAGCTCCACACAGACCTCGATCAGAGGACACACCAATAAGGAGGTATTTCTTCTTCTCCTCAGGTGCTTTAATTTCTGCTTTCTCATAGAGAGCTGAAGAAAAAGACAGGCAACTTATTCAAGGGTACCAAGAAACAAACAGGTGACATGAAAATACCTTTAATATACTCTAACTAAAATCATTTCTGAAGGAGTTCCAAATGACAGCCAGATTAAATTCTTCTACTTGATGCACATTAAAAGCTGCACGTGATGTGACTAGAGGTGACAATAATAATAAAAACCACAAAACACCCACCTAACCAATGCCCCCTGCCTCAGACACCTAATTAACAGCCAGCTACATATCTATGTCCAACATCATTCAATAAAAAACATTATTTTTTGTAAGGTTAACTGTGCAAATGCAGCTTCTCAGGAGCATGTGCAGCCCAAAGCTTTGCAACAAAGTCTGTCAGTAGACATAGAGCCAACAACAAGGGCAAACTGCACAATGTCATTAACAGAAAGCATCAGGCCAGCAATTACAAGCAGCATTGATTTTGAGACAGGCAAAACTAAGTATAGAACCACACAGTTTAACAAAAAATAATCAGAAATTATACTGCATTTCACATTAGAGCTCTTAAAAATAGCTTTCTGTAAGATACCTATAAATAATTTACATAGGGATAAGGAATACTTGATGTGACAGTGCCCTAGGAATACAAATACTTCTGAGAATCTACCCAAAAGGTGAAAACAAATCTAGACATTTAAACACCATGACAAAAGGTTCTTTTTTCTATTCTGGTATCATACAGAATGGAGTCTGCTATTACCCAGCGCTCCTGTTCCATATATTCTAGCAGGCTTCAGTTCCCTCTCAGCTCTTGCGTATTTTGCTGCAGAAACCATCTTCATGGACTTGGTAATTTTCTGAATGTTCTTGATGGATTTTAAGCGTCTGGTAACTAAAAGGTTAATAGTTGACAGTCAAAATGGGGCTACAGTGAGCATAGAGACATAGAACAAAACAAAAACAACAAACACCTACAATTACTCACAAACAAAATCCACCCCAAAACATCTAAGTCCTTCAAAAATGAAAAACGTAAAACATATCCTCTACATCCCCCAAATATTTAATATCTGTGTCAAAAATTGATACGTTGAAATAATTTACGCTTTTTTCTACTACAATCTGACATCTCTGCCAAGAAAATCTTAAGATGAAACAGTGTCTCTTATTCTCTTTCCTTCCATGTCTACTTTTTCCTCAAATATACCATCAGATGTACATTATAACAGTGAGGTTTTTTTTATTTTTCCCCCCTCATCATCTGGGAAATGGTAACAGAGAGACAAATTAACTTGCTCCTATGTTTAGATTCTGTCCGTCAAATATACCATCAGATGTACGTTATAACAGTGAGGTTTTTTTATTTTTTTCCCCCCTCATCATCTAGGAAATGGTAAAAAAGAGACAAATCAACTTGCTCCTATGTTTAGATTCTGTCCAAATGAGATTGGAAACAATATCAATGAAAAAAAATAAAACAAATCAGTTGTCCTTCATTCAGCTCCAGCGCAATGTGTCTACATAAGAACCTAAGATTAATGGAGCTTAAAAAAGCATTATCAAAGGTGACCTAACAGTCAACCTCGCTTTGCAAACTGGAAAACTGCACAAAGAATTCTACCTAATGCAACAGAAAATACTCTAGATTTTTAAAGCTGAGTAAGAGACTGCTTTAGTATATCTGACTCGATTCTTTTTAAAATATGCTTGAGTAAAATCATACTGGTCTGCTTAAATGACATTTAAGTCCACGCTAAAATCACTGCATGTGATGCTTTTTTGGAAGGTGCTTCTTGAACACAAAACATGCTGGAGGGTTGTATTTCAACGCTTCTCCACGTCCTAATCATTTCATCCTTCTGGGGGAGTCACAAGCCAGGTGACAGTGCGTTTTAACATGCAGTCTTCCCGCGAGAACGTCCCCGTCTTACAAAGGGACCATGGCCGCACTTACTGTCTTTCAGAGTTGCCATATTCCTCACTTGGCCCCTGGAAATGAAGGCAGCACACATTAAACTAGCCCGCTGGCCCTCCAGCACAGCAACGTCTCCCCACATCAGGCGCATTCAAAGCAGACGAGTTCAGGAATCGCCGATTCCGACAGGGCGCCGGCGGGGAGGTCACTTTGCTCCTGAGCCGCGTCCCGCCTGCGCACCCTGACTCTTCCCCTTGTGCCACCCTGGAGCAGCCCCGTGGGGCCGGGGAGGGCTTAGGCCGCGCCGAGACGCAGCC